TGTGTGGTCGCTTGTGGGCAGGAGCTCCCTGGAGCAGACCCTTCCTGCTCTTCCTTGAGGCCTTGACCAGCTCGGTGCCAGAGCTTGACTCTGAAGATGCTTCTGGGTTGATTTCTGATTAAAGAAGGAAATTTCAGGATTCTCTACATTATGCTAAATGGAGAGAGTATTTTATAGATGAATGGATGAATGTTTAAAAAAGAAAAATCAGCAGTGTGAATGCTGATGAAGCCCTGTCCTTGCTTTGTCCTCGGCATTTTTCAAACAGCTGTTCAGTAGTTGCAACATGAGAGTTAACCAAGGAACATTTCAGACCACCTCACGTTATTTTTAAATTGCGCACACTTTTGAGTGAAGCACTGTGTGCCACCATATCTCATGAAAATTGTTTTTTTTCTAGATCATTATGTAAAGTCATCTATAAATTTACTAAAACTGTCTCCTACATATGACAGTAGTAATCACACGTAGCACAAATCTGTGGAGTGATTACAACAATATTAGGTCATGGTGGTAATACTGAAATAAGGACAGCTAACATTCATTATGGATTTGCTTTGTGCCAAGCTCACTGAGAAGAATTCTAGTGGGGGAGGGCACAGCTCAGTCGTAGAGCGTGTGCTTAGCATGCCTGAGGTCCCAGGTTCAATCCCCGGTACCTCCATTAAAAACCTAATTACCTCAGCCCCTCCCCACCAGAAAAGAATTGTAAAAGAGAAAGTTACCTTTCAAAGCAATTCTGTGAGACAGGACTGTTAATATCCCCATTTTATGGATGAGGAAATTAAGGCACAAACTTGTCTAAGGTCACGCAATTAGGACCTAGTGGAGTTGAGTGGGAATTTACACTCGAGCCCATGCAGTTATCCACTGTGTGCTGCCGTCTATCCCCTAAGTGCCATTTGAAAGGGGAGAAAACGTAACCTCTTCGCAGCGCAGAGATCCAATTCACAGATTGGACTCCAGAGAAGGTCCCAGGGTGTCTGCTGGCCTGACATGGAGACGGTCCTCTGTTGAGCTGGTTTCAGTGCTGAGCTGCACACCGGTGTCCTCCTTCACTGTGGGAAGAGGGAGAAGCTTACGGGGCCAAAATGGGAAACTTCCATATATTAAAAGTGACTTCAGCGCACATAATTCTATTTCAGAAAGACAAATAACTCACATTTGTACTGATTCTGGGACGGAGCCTGCTGGCTCGGGACGTCTTCCTGGATTGTCTCCTGTTTCTGCCTCCCCGTTCTGAGACTCTTCTCTTTCTTCGGGCCTACCGTCCTTCTCTGCTGGGGGAGATGGACTGTTCTCTTCGTGATGTCCCTGATCAGGGCCGTCTCCTCACCCAAGACCATCTCTTTCTTCTTGCTTTTCCGGCTGCACAATCCACGTGTGCGGTTGGTCAGTGACTCCCTGTTGTGCTGTGGGTTTTAGGGGCACTGCTTAATTGCAGTTTGTTCTTTCCCAGATGTGTGCCTGGCTTTGCCAATGTATGGCTCTGCTGACTTACGCTGACCAGTGGCAGTCTTCCTCATGCACCCTGCCCTGAGTGCTTGGCTTTCTTCCCCCATTCCCCCAGTGCTGGCTTACTTGAAATACATTTTCTTTTTCACTCTTATTTCCCCATTTATGTATCATCTATGTTGTTCATAATTCAGTTTAATCAGAGACATTGTCAAGTGATGCACACACACAAAATGAACCAAATCTTTTTGCTGCCATTTTGAGTATCAAGTACACTGAGGAGAATTTGGGGAGGGGGGAAATGTTCTTAACTGTTTTATTTTAAACTTGTTTAAACCACCTAAAATATGAGATAGAATCTGTAAATATTTTGCTAAATAGGAAAGCAGCCATGTTGGCCTCCACTACAGTTAAGAGATTTTTTTTTATTTGGGGAAAGTAAGTAAAACTTCCTGAATCATTGGCTTCGTCTAAAGAACTGTTTCCAGATTTCTTCTGCTGGCCGTTCTCATCGCTTCCCCTCCCAGAATCTTCTCTTCCTTCTAGAGCGCGGGCTCTTCCTTTCATCCAAGACACTGTCCGTTTTGCCCCCTGGTCTTTGGTCGTCTCTGGGGGACAGCTGGTCACACACTTGGCTGCTTTTCTTTTAGTTCATTTGTCTTGGGGAATTAAAAAAAATACCACCCCCAGTTTAAATCTAGAATAGTACTGCTACTAGCTGGCACTGATGAACCAGCAGGGAACTGTGTTGTCTGCATGTGATTCTGACTTTACAGATGGTCACAGTCACTGTATCTGGGAAGTGTTGGTGCCCTCATACTGCGGGTGAAGAAACTGAGGCTCAGTGTTCACCGCGTGTGGGCAGCAGTCCCTAGTCCCCCCCCACTCCGTCCCTAGTTCCCCCCACTAGTTCCCCCCACTCCCTAGTTCCCCCCGTCCCTAGTTCCCCCCACTCCCTAGTTCCCCCTGTCCCTAGTTCCCCCCGTCCCTAGTTCCCCCCACTCCCTAGATCCCCCCATCCCTAGGTCCCCCCGGTCCCTAGTTCCCCCTCGTCCCTAGTTCCCCCTGGTCCCTAATTCCCCCCGCTGGACTCCCCCCACAGCCTGCAGTCCGGCTGCTGCTTGCTTCCAGGCCAGGGCACAGTGAGAGATTTGCTGGCAGTATTTCTTCCTCCTGAACACCTTTTTGGGACCCTTACGCATTCTGCCATTGCGTGCCTTCTTTGACATTAGAGAGAAGGTTTCATTTCTTCTGTCACACATTTTTGCATTGTGGGTTCTGCGTTCACATTAAAGGGTGCTTTTTTTAAATTGCAGCATAGTCACTTTACAGTGTTGGGTCAGTTTCTGGTGCGCAGCATAATAGTTCAGTCGTACATGAGCACGTATGTTCATTTTCAGATTCTTTTTCATCATAAGTTACTACAAGGTATTGAATACAGCTCCATGTGCCGTACAGCATAAACTCGTTGTTTATAAAGGATGCTGTCTAATAAATAAGATATTTGCCATTTTTTCAAGATAAAATGTCAAATTTTTCAGAAACACTATAAAAATGATGAAGCGTGACTATTTACAGACTACCTAATACTGCTTCCTGGAAAGACTTCTTACGAGTGCTCAGCCACACCCTGAGCTGCCTGAACTGACCCTGTGGCCACAGTGAACCAGTGAAGGGGAAACGGACTTGGGATCAGAAGACCTGGCTCAAGCCTTGGCTTCACCCAGCGTTTGCTAGATGTGATTTTGAACAAGTCATCTATCCTGTATGTTCCGTTTTCCCTCCCTTTATAAAATGAAGACGAAAATATTTATCTTACAAGATTGTTCTGAGAGATTAAGCTTTAAGGCACAACAAAATGACATTATCATAATCATCTTCACTGTTGAGTGTCTTGTAGGTAACCACATAGGAATCTTTCAAAACAGTGCCGGGGACTAAAAGCCCCAGGCAACGTCGGGGATTTCCCCCGGGTATCTCAGACTGGAAAGTGTGTTTGTGTCTTCATGCCTCTTGAAGGGATTCTGGGGCTACTGGCCTGTGGTTAAGGACCAACCTTACTTCTAAAGTGTTTATTTGGATCCTTGGTTTAGTCAAGGAACGAGGCGGTAGAGGGGAGAGGCAGTTCACACAGGCATCCACGTGTCGCCAAATGGAGAGTCTAGTCTGTTTGGGGATTCTAGCTGAGTTAGGACAGTTGAGATTTGAATTCTGTTTACACTGGGCCAAACACTACTTCCTGTTTCTAAAGAAAAGAGCCTTAACAAGGTTTGGACATGGCCCATATAAATGTTTTGTAAGAGGGAAGTGTAAATGAGTCGGAAACGTTTCCAGATTAGATTTCCCTTAAAATACCCTTGGGCTTAAAGAGTGAAGGGAGAGTTCTTGGCAAGGTCTGGTTTGGACCTTTGAGAAGCTGGGACACTTTGCCAGGCCGGTGATCGCCACCAGATTGTGCCTGACATCCAGCCCCAGAGGCCAGCTCTGCCTGCTCATCGCGAAGCGGGACTTTAGATGGATCTGCAGTTTCACTGCAATGTTTTAGGCTCACCCTGATTTGCTGCAGTTTAGACATTTGGTCTTCCCTGCCTGGTTTAAATAGATTCTACCTCTGTTCTTTGTTTTTTGAGTAATTTTTTAAAAGTACTTGCCTTATAAGCGATACACTTATGACATTAGGCTCTTCGGCGGCTGGTGTTTTGTTTATTTTGGAGAATCTACTTCAGGTACATGATGTACTTTTGTTTAATTTCCCAGAGGACTTATGGGACGTTGAAGAGACTTGTTCATCTTGTGCTAGAATCTTCCAGGCTGGCACTGTAACTAAATAACTCACTGTTATCATCCATATCAAGTTTAAATGGAAAACAGCTCTTTCTCCAAAGAGTGTTGTTACTTTCGTAATTAGAAAGAAGACTCTATATGTGTGTCACCAAAATACAGTGATGTCTCGCATCAGCAGGGCCGCGTTGGCATGTGACCCAGTGCCTGGAGTGACAGTGAGACGCTAACTTGTGTCTGAATTGACCTCTCTGTTCTGCTGTAGGTGTCTGTGACTAAGGCTGACCAAGAACTGGGGTTCGCCATCCAGACGTGCTTTATCTCTCCGTATTCGAACCCCGATAGGATGTCTGATTACACTCTCATTGAGAACATCTGTCCTAAAGATGAATCCGTGAAATTCTACAGTCCCAAGAGAGTGCACTTTCCTATCCCGCACGCCGAGATAGACAAGAAGCGCTTCAGCTTTGTGTTTAAGGCCGTCTTCAACACCTCGCTGCTCTTCCTGCAGTGTGAGCTGACGCTGTGCACCAAGAAGGAAAAGGACCCGCAGAGGTTGCCTAAGGTGAGCGGGCCGGCCTCCGTTTGTAGGCGAGGCAGCGACCTCCTGGAGAACGCGAATCGCACGTTGTTGCAGGTTGAGGTTTCCGGTTTGGGAACTGCCTCAAGTGAAGTGGTAAAGTCCGTGTTAGCAGGGACTGTGAGTTTTATGGAGTTGTAGAGAATAAATCCTGACGGTATAACTTTTTTCCATGCACGCTACTCGGTCGTATCTTACGAGGGATAAACCAGGACTGTTTTCCACTGAAGGAGAGTCTGGCTTTATCTTTGCTGTTTGATGGTGAGCAGTGCCAAGTGTGCAGAGAGCTGCGGGGTGAGCTGCGGGGGAGGATTAATTTCTCCAGGTCCCGCGAGAGGTGTTTTGCAGTTGTTTTCTGACCTTCTCTGGGTGAATCGCAAGGTTGACTTGTCTCATGAGGACTTCTAAGGGAAGCGAACACGTATTCTAATTTTTCTTGGTTTCACACCAGTTCGCCGTGTTTGTCTCATGTCACTCCCCACGTTGAACCAGTACATTCTGCTGCCACAACAGGAATCAGAGCCCTTTGACCTAGCTGGCACGGCTCCGGTAGGGGGACCTGCAGGGCTGATGACCTCGTTAGTCTGGCCTCGTCCACAAAGGGCATCTTCTGCCGGCATTGTTTCTGGCATCTGCCATGACCATATGTAACTGTGTGTGCGTTTGTGTTCAGGTATCTCACGCAGTGCGAGCTGACTGCTCGCCCTGCAGGCGCTCGCCAGTCCATGTGTGAGAGTCTGGCCATTGAGCCACATCGTTAATAAGACCGCATGGCTGCGACTCTCTCCCTGATACATGGGTTGTAAGGGATGAGTGTGGAGGTGGAAGGAAAAACTGTTATTATCGAATGGATGACTGCTGATCCGAATCCTTTGCACTATCACATTCCTCTGGGCATCCGCTTCTCAGTCGGGCCACAGGAACTTTTATAGTGCACACGGACACACAGCGAGGGGCTCAGCCTTAGAGAGCACGTGTGTGTGAGGGACGCGGGAGGCGGGTTCTGAATTAGGCCTTTGGAAACGTCGGTGCCGTGGGCCGTGTGGCCTCCGCCTTCCGGGCCGCGTGCG